GGGGGGGGCGCGCCGATGCCAGCGCCCACCCCCACCCACGCCCCCGCAACCCGGGGTGGGAGGGGGAGGGTCTCCGCGGCCAGCGACGCTCTGTCGCGAGCCGGAAGGGCGCTTGGAGATCCGCGGTCGGCCGCCCAGAGAGTGCAGGCTACTGGCACAAGGTCACACAGCGTGGGCTGCGGTAGCGCGGGAACCTGGAACCCCAGGCTACAGAGCTGGGCAGTAGAAACCTATGTGGACCCGGCGTCGGCCGGGTGGAGGAGGGAAACTGAAGCTCACGGTGGACGAGACTGGCCAGGTCCACACCGTGCAAGTCCGGAGGCTCCTGGGATTTGAACTTGGGGCTTCTGAGCCTGGGAACACGTGCCCCGTCCTGGTGACCCATTTCCTGCAGGTGCCTTCTCGCCTGTGGCAGCACAGGATTAAAACAACCCCTGGATGGACCTGGACTGTGTACTCATACTACTTCTGGGGCTCTGTGATCGTAGATAAGAGACCGCCCCTTTTGAGCCCCAGGTTCGCCACCTGTAAAATGGGGACAACATTAGTATAGTATCTACAACTTGGGTTGAGGATCCAAAGAGATGATAGGTTAAGCTCCTTGACGGTGCCCGACATTCAGTAGGTATCAAATGAATGTGCTCACCCTCCCTGGTTCTCACATGTCCCAAGAATGCTAGTTGAATGCAAATAGAGTCAGAACAGTGATTGTTAAAGGGTGGTGTTCAAAATCCGACCAAGCCCATTTTTCTAGCCTCGTTCCCCATTTGCCCACCCTGCCCACATCCCCATCCCAGAAACACCTGCCTTTCCCTGTGCCAGCAATGCCTTCCCACCATCTCCACCTACAAACTCCTATTCACCCATCAAAGCTTAGAGTAATCGGTTGTATACCCCAGCTACTCACCCTCCCTGCCAGTCCATCCATGACTCCCTTCACCATTCCCAGTGTCTGGTGTAGGTCTCTGTTTTTTGGTCTCTGTTTTTGTGGACCTTGACAACTGTGGTTAGAGATGTCACTCAGAGGAGATGACACCATGAGGACCAATGTTGCCTAAGAGGGCTCCCTGGAGGAGGTGTGGCTCCACAGGGCCTGGAAGGAAATGTGGGTTTAGCGTTCTAGGGGGAGGAGAGAAAGCATGTAGCCAGCAAGAAGGTGACTGTATGTTTGGGCAGGGTGTCAGTGGGGAGGAGAACTGGCTGGGGGGGTTAGGAAGACCTTATTGTCTGAGCTGGGAGCCATTGAGAGCCCGGAGCCAGACAGCAACCTGGCGATACGTGATCAGGTCAAAGATGAGCAGGCTTTGCATTGGAGGACACCTCACACAGGGGTCCCAGGAGACTTGTACAAGGATATTCAAGCGGCATCATTTGTAATAGTGGAAAGCTGGACACTAACTGTCCATCATCAGGAGACTGGATAAATAGCGACAGACTCAAACAATGGAAAATTCTCCACGCCACGATCTTCAAAATAGATGAATGCAAGCCACACATGTCTATGAGGATAAATCTCAGAAACACACTTGTTGATTCAGTCTGTGGAAAGTCAGAATTGTACCCTTATTATTTGTGTATCTTTGTTGAACTTTATACTTCAATACAATTTTTTTAAATAAAAAAAATATATATTGTTGGATGAAAAAAACAAGTTGCAGATGGATAAACAGTTTTTGTCAGATATATAAAGTTTGAAAGCCTGCAACACAACACTATGTGTTGTTTAGGGACACATACATATGTCATACATACAAACTACATACAGGAGTGATAAATAGCAAATTAAAAAGGGTAGTGACCCTGAGAGAGAGGGAGAAGGGAATGCAACAGGGGCTTCAAATACACTTGAAATGGTTTACTTCTTAAGTTGGGTGGTGGGTACCCAGGCGTTTGTTATACTGTTCTCTAGACTTTTTTTTTGTGATCATGAAACATTCATAATGTATTAATACTTTTTTTTTTTTTAAAGAAAGTCAGGTGGTGCCTGGGAAATTAATTGGGAGACATTGCTGATTCTTGAGTGGGGTCAGTGGACCAGAAATGGCAAGACTAGAGAAGGAAGGCAGAGGGAGTCTTGTGTAACAGTCTAGGAGAGAGGTATAAAGGTCTGAACAGGGACAGGAACAGAATTATGGGGAGGCAGGGAAGGATGGGAGAGATTTAGAGAGTAAACAACTGATGTGCTTAGGCTACGGTCATAAACTTTAAAGTCCGCAGGGCCTGGGCAGGTCACTGAAGCAGGGTATGAGGATGAAGTCCTAGGGACTGGTAGGTAGGGGCAGCCCCAGTGCCAGCTGATTGTTGCCATGTGGGAAAGGAGGCTCAGTGGGCCACATCTCTCCCCCCCCCCCTCTTTTTTTAAGAAATCAGCAATTCATATTTTTTAATGCAAAATCTCCTAAATTTAAATTATGGCAACTAAATTGAAAAAAGAATTAATTCTGTAGGGACCAAGTCATACTGGTTTGCAGTCTCTTCAATAAGGAAATGAAATGAAGGGGCCGTGGCACCATGTTTCCCTGCCTGTGAGGCTGAAGCAGCTCACAGCCCAAGCAGCAGTCAGGGAGGGCTTCCTGGAAGAAATGACACCGAACAGGGAACGCAGAAGGTGTTTCTGGCTGAGAGAACAGCAAATATAAAAGCAGGGGCTGAGTTGAGTGAGTCTAAAAGAAAAACAAAAGCAAAAAAACACCACCACGATGTCTCACAGAAGGGGAACGTGTGGCCAGTCAATACACAAGGAGGTGCCTGACCTCATTAGTCATCAGGGAAATGTAAATCAAGACTATGATGAGATGCCACTTCACACCCATTCAACTGGCAGAAACAAAGAAAGTCTGACAATACTAAGTGTCAGTGAAGATGTAGATGGATCCAGCTCTTCTGTCTGCTGAGGGGAGGGCGTGCCAATATTCCACTGTCACCCGGTGAATCCATTCCTGGGTACGTCTGCCCAGAGACACCCATGCACATGTATGCTGAGCCAGGGCTTCTCAAACTTTAATGTCCGTGGAAGTCACCCGGGGATCTTGCAAAAAGGCAGATTCTGATCCAGCGAATCTAGGGCAGGGCCAAAGATTCTGCATTTCTAACATGTTTCCAGGTGATGCTAAGGCTGTTGATTCTCAGACCACATTTTGTGGAGCATCAGGAAACATGCACAAGAATATCCATAGCAGCGCTGTTTGTAATAGCAGAAGTCCTGACAACAATCCAATTATCAATGGGCAAGAGAATGAATAAATAGATAAATGAATTGTGGTACGGTCACACACGGCCCTCAAAACGAGTGAGTCACAACTACACTCAACAACATAGGTGAATTCTCATCAATACAACATTTCGCTTTTTAAAAAGGCTAGATGCTGTTCTTATTTTAAAGTTGATAAGTTAAAAAATACATTGCGTAAGCATTGGTACATGTAATAAAATGAGAACAAAGAAACTAGGAAAATATATCCTCAGAATTCAGAATGTTAGTGTCCTCAGGCAGAGAGCCGGGGCTTCAGGAAGGACCCTGGAAGAGGATGGAATGACTCAAACCAAATAGAGTCCATTTGGCAGCAGGTAACCTCCAGCCCTGGGTAATGACCAGCTCTGGTAATGACTAGATCCAGACAGCGACCACAGCTAGCTAATGATAAGACTCGGCTTGTGACCAAAGCAGATAATGTCCAGATCCATCACGACCAGATCTGGGGAGGCCTGGCCCTAGCGCCATTCTCCAAGGCAGTCGGGCATCTGGACAGCCCCTTGGGGGAAAGGGAAAGGGACGAGCCTCCCAGGGTCCCCGAAGCCAGGGAGGGTTGGCCTCCTCCTCACCCCACCCTACATCCCAAACCTTCTCCTAAACAGCCTTGGGGTCTGATGCCTCCTCCCCATTACTCCGCCTCAGCCGGCTCAGCCTCCACATCTCCTGACTCCACTGCTACTCCAGCCTCTTTCCATGGCTCCTGCTCCAGTCTCCCCCCCTCCCAAACCACCCTCCACCCCAGCCCTGTCTGCCTAGAAAGACAGATCTTTCTAGAACACGGATCTGGTGTCACCCCTGTGCTCAGAACCCTGCATGGGCTCCCTAACACTCGGGAAGGAAGTTTGAACCCCTCAGCCTGGTCTTTAAAACCCTTCACCGTTTGGTCTTTGCACCATTTCCTAATTCAATTCTGGTCAGACCCCAGGGCTCAGGTCCAGGCTCTGCAGTCTCTCCGGAGGACAAGCTGTGTGCAGGCCCTACTACCTGGGATGCCTCTTCCCCCACTGCTCACCTCTCTAAATCCAGCTCGATGTCACTCACTCTGGGGAAACCTTCCCTGACTTCTGCACCCTACTCTCCGTTCCCAGTTTGTCACTTCCAAATACTTAATTTGTTTCCCTTTAGTATTACCAAGCATTTATTTATTTTTTCCGTCAGCTTTATTAAGGTATAATCGACAAACAAAAATTATATATATGTACAGGGTACATCCTGGTGTTTTTTTTTTTTAATTTTTTTTTTCAACGTTTATTTATTTTTGGGACAGAGAGAGACAGAGCATGAACGGGGGAGGGGCAGAGAGAGAAGGAGACACAGAATCAGAAACAGGC